TCATTATCACAGGTACTCTGCTTGCCTGCCGTGCTGCTATTCTCGATGGTCATATCCTTTCCGGATGACATGAAATTGTTCATGTATCAGTGCTCGCTAACTACAACAATGGTGCTCTGTCTGATATTCGGTTGCAGTACATGGTTTTACAATTCAAACTATCCGAAAACGCGTCTACATGTCCGCATACTGGTATTTGTTGGCGAAACGACATTCATGATTGATTTATTCAGTTAACATTTTTATTGTTTTTTTTTTAGATCGTTATTGTATTATGGATTATGTTTGTTTTGGGCGTCGCAACAGCGGTTTTATTCGATTTGCAATATTCCGGAGAACTTATATACGGTTTGTTCGAGCCTGACATGTTTGATACTATCGATTTGGTTTTACTTTATATGGGCATGAGTTTAGGCGCTTTGGCGCATCTAATACTCTTAATTGTTAATATAATATTAACTGTAGGTGTAATTCGAAGAGGACGGAAATGAAAATAAATTAAAACGGAGTGTAATGTTTGTATGTGAATCAATAGTTATGTTTCATTATGACTAGAGGTCATAACTATAAACAAAATACAGTCAGCGTTAAAAAATATGAATACCCCGACGTTTTGGCCATTTTATTTATGTTTTCCTACAAAATTTTTTTCTTAATTTTTTATAAAAATATAATTCATATTTTTTACGCTGACTATATAAATTGATAAACACTTCGCTTATAGTAATTATGGGTACATATTTTTAGGCCTATTTTTTAACATGAGAATCCATGCTCTAATTATGACCAATTATACGGACCCTATAATCATGCATATGGATATTTGAATAGGTCACATACGTGACAGTCTTACGTTTCAATGATAAACAAGAAAACATATTTGTGTTCTTTACCCTTGTATATCACATAATTAGCTCTATATTTAACCGAAAATAAATACAATTAAATTAAATATACACACTTAAAGAGAGTGAAGTTGATTTCTTCTTTACTTACAAAATCTCAAAACTGCGAATCGTGGATGCCTCTTTTCATGAAACTTGTTGTAACATCGTCGCCCGTATGCCAGAAACATGAATGTGTAAAAACTAAAATTTTGGGAAATCAAGTTTGAAAGTTTTTTTACCGGACTTATGTAGCTCTACATTTATGCAATTGAAATTGTAAAATACATACATACACTGCCTGAACAAAGTATTGGCACAGCAAATTTTTCACAATATATGCAAAAAATTTTATTCTAATATTTTTCCGCCAATTATTATAAAAATATAGTTTATTCTACAACAAAAAACATAAAAATATAATTCCTAAGCTTTATGCAAAACTCGCGAAAATTTAGCAAATTTTCAACTTTTTAAACAGATTTTTTAGAATTTTTTTGAGTATGC